CAGCACAGGTCCCTGCCTGTACCGTGGGACTGGGGCTGGCAGCGGTGGCAGCCAGAAAGAGCTGCCTCCCACCTGGGTTGCCTAGAAAGGCAGTCCAGCTGCAGAGCTGCCCCAGCCCTGCTGTGTGACCAGGGGGCGGCAGGACATACCACAGGCAGGCAGTGCAGAGCAGGTGCAGGGCAGGGGGGCTAGGTCAGGGCTGAGCATGGGTGCCAGCTGATCCACTCCAGCAGGGGTGAGTGCACAGCAGACACAGGGAGCGCTAGGGCTGCATGCTGCTGACAGTGGCAGGCAGGTGCCACAAGGTGCACAGGCTCTGGGCTGTTGAGGGGCAGGTACTGGGGTGTTTCATGCACACCCCAACATACCCACAAACCCTCCCCCACAAACATACCCTTCCCCACACACACATGCACACCACCCGCTCCCCATACACACACACGCATACCACCCCCTCCCCACACACACACATGTGCGCCCCTGGGAGGAGCCCCACTAACTGCTATGCACACCCCCCCAACACACACGCACCCATGCACCCCCACCCACACTCCACGCCACCTTCCCCCTCCATACATCCCCACAAACAGTTCTCCCCACAAACCCCCCATACACACCCACATCCACACACACCTCCACACACTCTCCCACACCCCACATACACACAGATCCAGTCACACACATGCCCCCCACAAACCCCATACCCACCCCTCTACACTCCCCTACAATATATAAGAGTAAGACCTCATTTTGAGCTATTATGCAAGCATGTCTATGTACACCACACAAATGCACACAAATCAGGACAAAACATTTTTTTTAAGCTTGCCATAATTTGTTAAGTGGTCCTCCACCTGAAATAATTGCCTGCCCCTGCCTTTTGGAGTACTTGCTGCTCTAGTTGCTTTGATTGTTGACTTGCAGATCATGAGTATTCAGGGATCATAACACTTCCTCCTTTTGCAAACACCATTTAAGCCCTGACAAAGAGAGCAGAAAGGCCATGATAAAAGATCCACCTACCTCTGTGACATTGAAAGGGGCACCACGCAGCTTCACAGTGTATACCACGGTTGCTTCAGTCGAATCAGCCCGATTCTTCAGCTGAGGACAGGAAACAATTGAGGCAAATAATGTGCTGTGCAGGTGGGAGTGGTGACAGCCTGATGCTACAAAGCTAGTTTTACTCAGAAAGCAGAGGAAAACAGCAAAGTAATTTGCCCACTTCCTGATCACAGGTACAGAGTAAGGATGCTCTTGAATGGAGAGCTCTTCCTCTGTTCCAGAAGCTGATGCGGGCTAGCAGGGTCACTGAGACGTTTGGATACTATGAAAATTGACATATACATGATAGGACTGGTACATGTGCCTGTGGCCTAGTGGTTACAGCACTCTGCAGGGAAGCAGGAGATGCAGGTTTATACCTCTTGTGGATGAGAGGCAGCCTAGGACTTGGGTGTTCCACTCTAGACAGCTGCCCTAACCACTACGTTATTGAACTAAAAGGTAGGCATAGATGATGCATAAGTATTGACAGTGGGGGAAGGGGAGAGCACAACTTTGTGCCACTGCTGGACCCCCCCCACTACTGCCGGGCACTGGCTCCGGCCAGGCTGCAGCCTCACACCCTGCCGAAGGCACTGAAATCATACTGCCACCAACACCCTGGGCCCTGCTGTGCTGCAGCTCTGTGCCCTGCTGTTGGTGCAGAAATCGCACAGCCACTGCCACCACCCTTGAGACCTGGCCCTGGTTAGGCTGCAGCCCTAGGTCCCTCCATCAGCACAGAAGTCTGGGGGAGGTATGTGCCTTCCCCTGTACATCACCTACAAAGGTAGACAAGCACACCAACCCCATTCTGCTTCCAGCAGAATAGCAAGCACATTTAAGAGCCAAAACCTGCAGTTCCGTGGTTTCATACTTGCCATCTAGGCACATAAAGCAAAATAGAATTTATCTATCAGGGACTTGCCAAATGTCATACAAGATGTCAGTAGCAAAGTAGGGAGTCTAAGCTAGGTCTCCCAAGTTCCCAACTAGATTACCCTCCCTCCCTCCATCAAAAAGCACCATTTCATCTAGGATGGGGATGACCTACTGCATCAGGGGCGAGGAGAGGTGCACCAATCTCTTCCTATGGGAAGAGATTCCCAGATCTCATGGAGCTGGGTCTGAGCTTCCAAGTTTGCCTGGACATGCATTCACAGTTTAGCCTGGCCTCTGACTGGGTTATACCTCTGATTTAGTGCCTTTCTTTTTCTCTTCTTCCTTTGGTTTCCCTTGCCCTTTGATCTCTTCTTCCAGCATGGCTCCCTTTTTCATCTGGACGTCTATAGCTTCCACGTTGCTAGGATTCTCCTCTTCCTCACTACTTTTCTCATGCTGCTCACTGTCCTCCTCTTCCTCCTCACTGTCTTCATCCAAGGAAGTATCCTTCACCACCTTCGATTTCAAGTAATCCATATCAGAAAGCCCTTTCGTGACAGCCACCTTTTCTGTGGGGTGTCCCTTAGCTGTCAAGAAGTGAGAACAAAGCATTAGATACTGTACACACAAATGCCTGTACCCTCTTCCCACCATGGCAAGCAACACATACCAGCATGCAGGGGAAGATTTTAGGTAATGCACGAGCAAACTCATTCCATACATACAAGGCACTGGAGAATGGCCCTGCTTCTGTATTCCATTACCATTTCACTTTCCTTTCTAAGGCCTCTTGTTCAAATCCAGCCAGTCAGTAGGGGCTACAAGCTGTTACCACTCTCCAGGCTGTATGGTCACATTTATCAGATGAGACAGTAATTGCAAACCAATGCTCTGTGGACGTGGGTCCCAATCCCATAAAGATACAAGTGCAATGAGCAATAAACTGCCTCAACAAACAGGCTGAGCATTAAGCAGGCATCAGAGCATGAACCCCTTTCTTACAACTGAGGGTTTTTTAAATGGACTCAGTGGCAGAAGCAAAATCCTGCTCTGCTGATATCTACACTATGTTTTCTGGGTTGTATGTTTGGGCATGTTTCACGAGCACTAAAACAATCTGGTGTTTAAGAACAAATCAACATTATGTGACCATGTAGAAATAAAACTCTCCTGGGAAGCCACTCTGCATGTTAGGGTCATCCACAGTACAGTGATAAGGAAAGTCCCCAAAATGCAAGGACCTGAATGTATAAAAACATGACAATGTTTTTTCAATGGACAGTAATTTGCAGAGAAATGGGAGCTTCAATACAAGTGAAACTATCCCCAAATTCAGCAACTATTTTCAACCAAAAATGTTTGAAGCAACCCCGAAAGATGCTTTCCCCACTCCCCCCCGCCATTTTCTTGCTTCAGTTAAAAAAGCCCAACAGCCAAAACCCCATACCCCCAAGATATTTGTTTCCATGTGACTTGAAACCCTCTTTTCCCCAAATTTGGGAGTGAACTACCAGATCTACAATCCATTATTTCCCCAACTTTAGCAGACACTTCCAGCCCACAAAATATCTGAATCTTAGTTAAAAACCCAAGATGCACAGAGGAACACACACAGTAACAGTAATACACAGCTTATGGAAGAGGTTTCTTCTTTTACGAGTAGAAACAAATTAGCAGACTAGTAACTGAAATCTGAAGCCCTGGGCATAATCTGGACACCACTGTAGATATCTGCATTAGAATCACACTTCTGTGCAAATTCAAGTACTTTTCTCCACTTAATATTTAGCGCTCAGTCCTGTAAGATGCTGAGCCCCCACCAATTCCCACTGACCCCAGAGGGGGTTGAAAGGCAACCAGTTTTCCAGGAGCTTCATGGTACTCCACAGAATAAGCCTCCACGCAAATACACCAATCAAAACGACAAGGAGTATCCAAGAGAATTACTTTTGTTGCCTTTATCTTCTTCCTCTTGGAATTCATCCCCGCTCTCTTCACTCGGGTCACTTGACTCATCTGAGTCGAAGTTCAGATAATCATCTACTGGCTTCAATTTTCCTGCCTTGGGCTCCTCTGTCAATGTGTCATTGGCCCAAGTGGCTACTTGTGACCGTTTTTGGTGAACCATCAAAAACTCTCTGAACTCTTCATTTCCTTCCAGCTGTTGAAAAACCAACATATGTACAAGGATTGAACATGGATATGTAGGACAAGGCAAATAAACTGGGAGCCAGTGTAATTCCTGGCAAATAAGATCAGTGGGGAAGAAGGCTATATTCCTCCTGTGTGGATTGCTTTTTCTTCCTTGGAAATGGGGACAATTATGCATAATTCAGGAACTTATGTCCAGTGCTATGGGATGCATCACAGAATCTAAGTAGACTACCCACTTCACTTGAATCAACAGCTCTGGAAGCAGCACTGCCTCTAATACATAACAGATATTAATGCTACTAACTGAACAGAGAAAAACATCAAAGCCAAATTATTAATGGACTTAAATACTTTGCATTTCTATACAGCTGCTTTAAATCTAAGAAACATATGGCACTAGAAGCAAGCACTGACATGCATCTGTAAAGTCACTGTTCTACAAATAGAGACTCTGATTCATACAAAGGTTAAGCGACTTCATAAGCTGAAAACAGAACCCAGGGGTTCTGGCTCCCAAAACAGGGCAGAGGCCGTTCAGCAATTTCTATCCCACCCTCTGCTCTCATGGACAATCCCCATATACTGCTCACCAAAACTCACCTCTTTTAAGTTTCCAGCCACATTTTTCACCTTTTTATCCTGAAAGAAGAAACGGCTTTTAGAAAGGCCATGGGAAAAAAAAAACAACACAAAAAACTCAAGTGAGGTATCTCAGGTTACAAGCAAGTGACTATCAATGCATAGAAGTAGGACATGGGAGTCCTGGCTCCAGCTGCCTTTTCAACCCACCTCACTGTACTTACCCACTCACTTACTGGAGAAAGATGGCACAACTTACCTTCTTTGTACCCGTGTGATCTGGATTTGCAGTGGGTTTGTCAGCTGGCTTTTGTGAGTGTTTGCTCCAGGGCTTGGGTTTTGATGGGTCTCCAAAAGATTTACAGACCTCTACCTGAAAGCAATCATGGACAAGGAGCTCCTTTTTAAATTAGCCTTATTTTAATCATTTCAGTTCCATTAAAACAGAAAAGCCTTAGATTGGGGCCCATTTCAGATACCTGACAAAGTGTACATCCTAAAGCTGTGTGTAAAAGGAAGCTATGGGAGTTACTCCATTACAGTTTTCCAGAAAAGGCTGGAGTGGTTTAAGAGTAACAAAGCCTACATCTGCACAGGGAGTAGGACTGTGTCCCTAAAGATCCCATTTGAACTTTGACAATTCTATGGCTTGAAACATATCCCAAAACTGTTCCAGTCTCCATTGCCATTCACTGCATTCTCCAGAGACCAAGAAAAAACACTTGATCTGAGCCTTCAAGAGGCCGAGAACTACATTTTTAAAGTGCTGGAGTGATATAGCTGTGGTCCAGAAAACATGCAAGAGGAAAGGATTTTTGTAGATGACATCTTTTATTAGGCCAATTACCTGGTTGGGATAGATGGTTCAAAAACGGTGCATCTGCTGCATTTGAAAGTTTGTCTAAGTCTATCCCAACCAAGCAGCTGGTCCAATAAAAAGGTACAGCCCACAACAATACTTATATTTTTAAAGATATTTCAATGCAAATACAACTTTGAGAATTAATTATTATTCTGCCTTAAAATTTGAGATGTTCAATCAAACTAGCATTGAAATGACACTGGTACAGAAAAAGGGAGTGCAGACTAGTTCAGTGATGATTAGACTTCTACTATACACCTGAGTTAGGCTGCCCTTAAAAACCAGCTGCACCAAAACTAAACAGATCATTTGCAAGGTTTGTGTGTTCTTGCTTCTGCTCACAGGTCAGAACCTGCAAGATCGTCTCAGCATCTCCATTATCTCCCTAAGAAAAGGAACTGGTACAGTGAATGGAAACAAGATGCTGGAGGACTGCTATATCAGCAGGTTACGAGCCCTATATGGCACAGATCCTCCTGCTCCCAACCCTCATACATAAGCCTATTCCCACTGTTAGGCCACCTCTGGTTTATGAAAGGCAGAGGAAAGGGGATACTTCGCCAACCATGTGTATACACTGAGCCATGCCAATTTCAGTGGGCAAATTACTCAGTGAATGGCCTTCACACTGTTCCTAACCACGGCCAACTTGCAAAGTAACAGATAGTATGGCTCCATAAATGCAAATAAGGGCTAACATAAGTTGCTGGGCTGCCTGAGAACCATGTAACCAGCGTAGACATCAGATCTTACAATGCCAGCACAGTCAGTTGAGTTCAATAAAACACCTCTTATCCCCTGAACACCCACACACAATGAGCACACCCTTAAGCATAGTCTCAACTGCCCATTTTTCCCCAAGGAAAAAAAAAAAGAAACTTCTATGAACTTTTTATTTAATTTTAACACCAACTCACTGTGATCCTGGACGTGTCAATGAAACTCCTGTTGAAATGGTTCAGCGCTGTTTTGGCTTCATCCTCAGACTTAAAGCCAACAAAGCCAAACTTGCGGAACTTGCCATCCTTCGTGAACTTCAGACAGCAGTCAGTCAGCGTACCAAAGGCAGCAAACAGCTTCCGGAAGCGATCTTCCTTCATCTGCAGGAAAAGGGCAGCCACGAGGTAGGCACATCAGCCACACAGCTTCCCCCACAGCCTTGGAGAAAAGCTGGAGAACAAAGTCTCTGTGCCAGAGAGGTCAGAGTTTAAGCTGACAGTGGCTCTGCCTGGCATCACAGACTCCGACACAAGGGATCCAGCCCTGGTCACCTCAGCATCAGGGTGACCTGCAGGGCAGTGATGGCCAACCCCCGCCTCCCCAGTTTCTCAGGGGCGTCCTGCAAGGGTTTCAGGCGCCTGGCAGAGCAGGAGCACTAGGCTGCAGCGAAACCACAGGAGCCCTGCTAGGCGCAACCCGGCCGGAGCCGGGTGCTCCCTACATGGCACCGAGCTCTGCCTCCCCTGCTGCGGACAGCTACACCCCCGCGCGGCACCCCCCTCCCCAAGCACGTGCCCCGATCCCGGGCCCACCCCATTCGGCAGGTTCTTCACGATAAGCCGCGACATGCCGGCGGAGGGCGGGGGGCGCTGCTCGCAGCCACGCTCAGTAAGCATGCCGACCCCTGGGCGCCGCCATCTTGCTCGCGGGGAGTCACGTGATCCCTTTGCCCATGCGCACGCGCAAAAATGTCGAGCTGCCGAGAGGATCTCGCTCCCATTCTCCATCCGAGTCGAGGCGATAGCGCACGCGCAGTGCAGGCAGGGCCCGGCAGCGGCGGGGCTGACGAGCACCAGAGGGCGCCGCCAGCCAGAGAGGTTGAGCCAGGGTGGTTCTAGCGCGCATGCGCAAGGGGAGGCGGCCACCCTAAATTCATAAGTATTAGTAGAGCACAGTGATATTAATATATGTACAACTTATTTATTTATTGTTCTATTTTAAATTTTAAAACAACTTGGAAGCCTACCAGTGTCTCAATCATTATAATAAAATACATTCTAAATACCTATACATTTTGGCATTTGATTTTTTGTGTTTTTTACCATGGAAAATCAGAGCTCCTCCTCCCCCTTTGCTCACCAGGAGGCAGGTCCAGCTGCGGCTGTCTCCTCCACCACTGTGGGCTCAGCAGTGCGGGGGCTGGCTCCCCACTGCTGCGTGCAATGCTGGGGTGGGGCATACACAGCACGTTGCTCTGCAGATTTGTGCATGGGGCGGGTGACGGCCTGGGCTTTGTGTCCTGCTGCAACCCCACCACCCTCACCAGGGCCTCCACGGCCTAGTGGGTGGGACCCAGCAAAGCGGAGCATGGCCAGGCGCTGCCACTGTGAGACTTGTGCCACCATGGCAAAGTGCCTCTGCCACCACCCCTGCTGCTGCTGCTGCTGGGCAGGCAGGGGGCACTGCACCGTGGCAGAGTGGGGTTCCCAGCAGCAGCAGCATCGAGCTCCCTACTGGGTCCTGCTCGCTGGGCTGCAGAGGTCCCAGGGGAAGGGCAGCAGGGCAGGGAGCCCTGCCCCCGCTCCTGCCCCATGCACAAGTCTGGGGGCATGTGTTCCCCCATGCCCACACCCGGGAATGCACACAACAGCAGGGAGCCACTCCGCACGCCCGGACAAGCCACTGAAGGCTCTGTCCCATTCCTTGCCTGGGCCATGAGGCTGTGCATTCTGGCCCCAGACCCCAAGCTCTACACATCCCTGGTTGGGCAGCAGCCCCAGCCCTGCCCAACTCCCTCCCTCACTATAGGAGTCTCAATTCCCCCCAAGCCTGCGCCAGATTTACCTGCCGGAGCTGCTCTCCAAACTGCAGCCCCTTGCAGGCTGGGATTCTGCTAGCCTGCAAGGGGAAACCCACCATTTCCTGCATTTTTCTCCTTTAAAGGAGAAAATTTGGGTTTTTCTCCTTAAAATGAGAAAATCTGTGTTTTACCATGTTTTATTGTGGGAAACAGAAAACCCAGATCCCTGCTTATAAGTCATGTCCCCCAGCCCCTTAACCATTTTCATTGCCCGCTGCTGGACTCTATCCAATTTATCCACCTCTTTTCTGTAGTGGAGGGCACAAAACTGGACACAGTACTCCAGATGTGGCCTCACCACTGTAGAATAGAGGGGAATAATCACTTCCCTTGACCTGCTGGCAGCGCTTCTACTAAAGCAGTCCAGTATGCCGTTAGGCTTCTTTGCAATAAGGGCGTACTCAGTAATAGAACATCTCTGTATTGAACAGAGCACCTGAGCTGCTGAGACTGGGATGCCCAGAAGTCGTACCTACTTCTCTCCACCCTAGGAGTGTTCTGTTCTCATATCCCTTCTCTATGCTATTCGCAACAGGACTGGAACCAAGAGAGGTTTCCTATTTCTGTTGGCGTGCCTTGGGACTGGTAACAAGCACGAAGGGGGCTGTGGGATGGGAGGAAATCTCCTGCGTAATCCACCCACTCTCAGCTTTCTGGGCTCAGTGGCCTTATCACCGCTCCAGCCATATTACCTGAAATGTAATCTGTCCGTGGGCGGCAGGTTCTCAGGAGCCTATTACTCAGAGTCGCCTTTCTGCCCATGCACAGCTTGGGTTACATATAGCTAGGCTGATCGGACGTAATCCATCGGAGCTCACTGTAATTACGCACAGCAGCACCCTGGCTTGTCAAAAGCAAAGGCCAGATATACAAAGAGAATGAGCATCTTGTGGTGAGAGGCAGGCACAGAGGGACAGAGCGGGAGCTGGGGAGAGGGGTGGAATTACAGAAGAACAGGGCAGACAATGGCTGCAGTCAGGGAGAGGAAGATAGTGTTGCCAGCAGCTGCAGGCGACTTGCTCTGCCCCGTTAGTTCCCGCTGCCCCAAATAATCTCCCACACTGCTTCATTGCAGCAGCAAGAGTTTGGCCCCTGTATGGGTGTGCAGTTCTCCCTCTACTGCTGTGCCAGGAATCTGGGCGGGGTGAGTGTCCAGTGAGTATGGGGCTCATTTGGGACTGTCCCCAACTCTGCCACAGATTTCCTTGTGATTTTGGACGAGTCTCATAGGAACACACCTAAAAAGAAACCTAGGTATTCCAACACTGAATATTGCTGTGTCAAACTTTAAGGGATTTGGCCCTGGGGTGGAGTCCAGAACCCTGTGTTAGGTGTCTGCACATGCCTGCAGGGCCTGGGAGTGGTAGGCACCTTAGGATGGGGTCCAGATCTGCCCACAGGTGGGACAGGGACCTGCTGAACATCGGCATTCATTAGTTAGTCTAGAGCTAGCCAACAGGGGAGCGCAGAGGAAAGTAGTGTGTCTGACTTCCTACCCCTCCCAGGGGTTAAGGTGTCTTATTTAGGCCCACAGGAAATCACTTCCCTACTCTCCATTCATGTTCAGCAACCTAGACCCCTCTCCTAAGGGAAGGTGCTCACAGCCTTTCTTTCAGAGTGCAGAGAAGCCACTGCAGCCATCCACTGTTATACAGTCGCCAGCCATTCAGGGCACTCACCTGTGGTGTGGGAGGCACAGGTTCGACTTCTTCCTCACTTGAGGGGGTTCAGACCCACACCTCCCACATCCTAGGGGAGTGCTCTACCAATGGACTATAGATGAGGCTGAACAGAGGCCTGCTTCACCCTCTACTGTTGAACTTCTACCACTGTACCCAAAAGAATACACAATTAAGGGGGACTGGTTTCTGACTATAGCTTGGTGATCAGGCCACTCGCTGGGGACGGGAAGATCTGAATTCCAGTGCCTTCCCCAATGGCTGGTTATATCTTTTACATGAAAGAACAGTCAGACAAATTCCATAAACAGTCGTTGGAGCAAGGACTTGCACCCAGGACTACCTGTGATGCGGTGAGTGCCCTAACTAATAGACTTCAGTGGCAGATTTCCTTTTGTGCTCACTCTCAGGCTCAGCTAAGACAGAAGGGGTTGTGGGCATCCTCCCTCCCCTTCCCAGTTAACATAGAGCCAGTACTGAAGGCATATTCTGAGGTGAACAATACATACTTACCTGGCAGGGGAAATACCATGATCATCACTAAGGCGGTTTTCCTAGCTGCTGGGGATAACTGCTTTTCTGGCATGAGCTAGTATCCTTGGAGGTAATGTATAAACCTCCCACTTTCTCTTCCAGTGGGAAGATCTTGGCTTCATGCCCATTTTATGGAAATGGGAGACTCTTCCCTGGCTTGCTTCTGCAGCCATATAGCTGGGGGCAAGCGAAACTCGGGGGCACCCAAACCCCAAGCCTCCAAGCTTGGGCTTGTACATAAGATGCCTGCCAAATGATTTGGAAACATCTGAAGCTCCAGGTGGGGGTGGAGGATGTTTGCCAGTAGTACGGCCACATATGGTTCTTGAATGACTCACGGTTTTGTAATTGATTCGGCTGATTTGGCTTCGAACACAAAAAGCTTTCCTTAAAAAAAAATGCAGGTGCAAATACCTTCTAGTTTTGTTTCTGTTGAGTGTGTTTTCTCTTTTGGTGGGGGGAAGAATCCAGTGGCCTTTGGAACCCCCCTGCCATCAAGCTTCTCCAGAAGTCCCAATTCAGCAGGCTGCGTTAGACACCACATTTCAGCTGTGGGTTACGCTGGCTCCCCACTCTCCTCCCCCAGCTCAGTTAACTCAGATCTGCCTGCCTCACTTGTCACATTACTTGATCCATCAGAGGCAGGAACCTCAGAGCACAGTCTCCATTTCCTACAGAGCCCCAGATAAGGGCATAAATAAATTCACAGCCATTGATTCCTCCTCTGTGCCTTTGCCAATGCCGGATGCAGCAAACAATGGAGTCAGGACTGAGGCACCTGTTTGCAGATAAGGGGACTGCAAGGAACAGGTGGCTCCTGTGTTGTAACTAAGCCTGGGGCTCCAAGTATGGGCACACATGACTGCTGCATGAGGGCTCTTAGGATGCAGGGAGAGCCTGCTCCACTGCAACTGGAGGTGACAAGCAAACACTGATGCACTGCTGAATACAGTGCAGAACCCTCATAAATATGAGAGCAACTACAGCATTACATAATAGTACTTAGCTTTCATGTGGTGGTATTCAGCAGTACATTCCAAAGCACCTTGCAATGGAAAGATTTGCCACTTTCCCCCATTTCACAAGGAGGGAAACAGAGAAGAGATGTGCCTTATGCAGAGTCACAGAATAACACAAGGAGGAGAACCCAGGTTTCCTGGATCCCAGTTTAACAATTAATTCACTAAATTTTGCAGAATTTACAGAAATGTTGCAATTACAAAACTGTCCTCATACAAGAAGAATGATGTTTTTTAATGCAGCTCAAAAATCAAAATCTCTTAGATCAAGTTCTACACGGGAAAGACACTGTATAACTACACTGAACACATTTGCATCTCCTTAATGATACAACAGGGGCTTAATTTTGAGGCACTTAGGTGGGTACAAAGCTGGCTGCGGGGTAGGACCCAGAGAGCCCTAACGAATGGATCTGTGTTGTCTTGGCAAGAAGTGGCCAGTGGTGCCCCTCAGGGGTCGGTGCTTGGTCCAGTGCTATTCAACATCTTCATCAATGATTTGGATGTGGGGATGAAGAGCTTACTGGCCAACTTTGCAGATGACGCCAAGTTATGGGGAAGTGTGGTCATGCTTGAAGATAGCTTGCAGATACAGGTGGACCTAGACAGGGTAGCAAGTTGGGTGG